TCACTATTTATTCTGATATTTGTGGAGTACTGTTATTCCAATGGGAGGGAGGATATGCCAGTCTTGCATTGTTGGGGCTTTTTGTGCATTTTTATTGGGTTGGACTGATTGCTTATGTTTTGCTGTGATATGACATTTTAATAATGATTTCTTTATAGTGCCCATTGCAAATCATACGGACCCTAAAGCTGATACCAGTAATGACGTAGGGCGCGATATTTGTGGAGTACTGTTATTCCAATGGGAGGGAGGATATGCCAGTCTTGCATTGTTGGGGCTTTTTGTGCATTTTTATTGGGTTGGACTGATTGCTTATGTTTTGCTGTGATATGACATTTTAATAATGATTTCTTTATAGTGCCCATTGCAAATCATACGGACCCTAAAGCTGATACCAGTAATGACGTAGGGCGCAGTATCTTATATAAAATACCACCTCACAGCAGAATTCAAAGTTTGATTGGTAGCCATTCATTTTCCAGATACAGTGCAAACTTATGACATTTATGGTGCAAACCATAAACTTATTTGGAGCCTGCTGGCCTGAGAAAGGAGCAGACACTCCTGCCATGTTCTGTGTATTTCTGTCTTGGGGAGAATTGTCTTGCTTCACAGGAAGGGGTTGTAAGAAGGGTGTGTGCCAGGGGAATTTGGGGGCCTGGTAACTGACCCCTTGTTTTCTGAGAGGGTTGAAAGAGGGTATCATTCCAAATAGGCCTAAGTCCTTGTTAGGTCTCGATGCCCTGGGGTCATGGGAGGCTATTTATGGTTATGGTAGTGGACTGCAGGCGTTGTGAGTGACATGAGAAAGGCATAATGTTGTTATAGATGTTTTCTGGTCCATATTTCTATCCCTCTTTATTAAAACAGGAGGGGTAGGTTTCTCAGTGCCACCAGGTGGGACGGGCCGTGCGGCAAAGTCCCCATGGCAGCAGAGGCAACAGGCAGCTGCTGCCGGGCTTCAAGTAGGTATGAGGGAGCAGAGCTGCAAAACTGAATTGGGCTTCACAGGAAGAAAAAACGTGGTGTTTCAGGACACTGTTAATTCTGTGTGCAGAGAAGATCACTTTTCTGTCTCACACAAGTGAAACCTGCAGAGGGTTTCGCAGCCAGCAGGGAAGGGAAGAGCCTTGAAAACTGTTTGTCACTGAAGGTCCCAAAGTAAAAATTGCATTGACTGTGCTGTATCTGCAGTCACTAAATCAGATTCAACTTTGGTTCTTTTTTAAGAGAAGAGAGGAGCTGGAGATCTCACTTTCTCACTTGGTGACAGGAGGACCCGCACTGTCCAGAACCTGTTTCACCATCTTACTAAAATAAATTTTTTTCCCATGGACTTTGGCCCAGTATCTGATCCCATCACATATGCAGTAGGAGGGAGTTTTGTGTTGTCTACTGTGAGCTTTGTTAGGTTTGAATATCCTCTAGAATTACAAAGAGAAAATTAAAGCCTTGATACTACATTGCTTTCAAAATATTTCAGCTGGTCTGTAGCTATAATGCATCAAGGCAAAAGGCAGTTGGAGTAAAATGTCATTGATTGGACTTGGAGGTTAATTTGTGTTTGCTGATATTTAAAACGAAAACTGAGAAAGGCAGAAGCGGAAAAGGTGAAGTTAGAAGATTTTTTACTTGTGGTTCCTTGGAAAATATGAGATTCTCATAAGGTTAAACAGAGCTGTTATCTGCGGCGTATTCGAGTAACAATTCAAATAGTCAAGAGGTGACACATTTCAGTAGTTAAGGCAATCACTGAAATTGGTGGTGGTTTTGGTCTTGTTTTAGTGGATTGTAATGCATGAACTAAAACAGACATTTCTATAACTATTATTTAGCAGGTGAGTAAAGGAAAAAGACTACTTGCTTTATGACTCTTAGCATTGTTTTATAGATTAGAAGTACAAATGGTTTCTTCTCAATTATTTTATGATGGTCAATATAGTATGACTTATTTTATTTTTTTCTCTAAGAAACTAGAAGAGGCAAGCCATCAACAGAAATACAGATTTCTTTCCAAGTGCTGTATGCACAGAATAAAAAATACATAAAGTTCACTTGGGGGACAATTTACATTGTAAATACATAAGGGGTCCTGGGTCATTGATGGTGTAAGCAACTGTTTTATATATAAAACTGCTTTATATATATAACGTAGTTGTTTTGTTGTTTAACTTGTTTTAAAGCTAGTAGCAGTCATGCTGTATTAGTGATAGCCTGAGGATGTAATAAGGTAAAGTCTGTAGGAAGAAGGAATTTTTTTTGTTAGACTGACTGCCATAGTGGGAAGAGCTTTGGGGCCTGTAGGCCCTTGCTCTTTCTGAAGTAGATGCAACAGACTGAAAACGATCTGGAGATCATCGCCCTGAGCTTGTTGGTTGTGTGTGTGTGTCAGTCAGATGACCAAAGGGAGTTAGTTGGTACCTGTGAGTCAGAGAGGTGGAAAGGTGTGGTTTTCTTGGGGAGAGACAGGGGTGTGACCTGTAGTCTGTGCTGCTTGGAGAGATTTGTTTGAAGAGAGGGAGATTATAGTATAAAACTGATATTTCACTAATGTTGATTTTTGATAGCTGGTGGAATTACGATTTTTTTTGTTTCTAGACTCCCCCTAGATGTTCTTCCCTTGAGAACCTTAAGGTCTCCTGGCGGCCAGGACTGTGAGGTTGAAAATTAGGGGTAGAGCAGGGAGTTCTGTAAAAAAATTCTGAGCTGAAATCTCTCGAGTTCTTCTCTAGTGCTTTATTTATATGACTATTCTTGCTCCCAGATGAAGATTAGGAACAGTTCAAATGTCAGTCCTAGCCAACTGTAAGAAACTAATAATGTGCAGCTCAAGAAACTAGAATATTTTTCTCAGTTAGTGTAAAGAAAGCTTGACATTTTTTTGTAAGGAAGCTCAGCCAGCCCTAAATAAAGAACATGATTCTTCTTTGTAATACCATATGCCCAAATAAAAATAGAAAAGCTTCATCAACTTTCTTTTGAACTCTTTAAGCTCCCCTAAAGTGTGTCCTGCTAAAATTTCTACTAATCCAAACCAGTGCTCCCTCAGTGACTCACCAAGTTCATACCGGGGTAGGATAAATAAGTAGTTTTAAAGGAAATTTTCCCAGTGTAGTTTGGAAAAAATTAAAATAACTAGATAACAGTGCATAATCTTTTCAGTTTTGAAATTGTAGTAAAGAGTTCAGAACTAGATGGAAAAAATAATTTGATTAATTCTAATCAAATCACCTGCATGCAGCTAGTGTCTCATGCATGTGATTTCTTGTCCTTTTTTTATGACTCTCACTTAGGATATAAGGAAGAAGAATTCAGCTGGCCCTCATACCTAAAGGCATGCAAGGCTCAAGCTGCTCCTAAATCACTGTTTGAAAACCAGAATGCAGTAAGTATTTGCTTCTTATTAATCGTGCGGAAAGCTGCTAGTCTGCTCATGTGCATGGTAGAGACTCTCAGCACGTTTCAGTGATGGCAGACTTGAGACCTGAAATTTAAGATAAAAGCATTTACAACAGATTCAGTAATAATTTCTAGCTCACCTCGACAGTTGTGATCCATTAATTTTTTACTAATCTGTTTAAACATTCAGGCGCATTCAGAAATGATATATTAAATGAAATGTAAGACGTCATTATTACTGTGTCTCACACCATAATGTTGTGGAGCAAGCACAGTCTTTCAGAGAGAGTATCTAAGACAAAGTTAAAACCAACACATTTAATTTTAGCAGCATGTTTAGGGCTTTTTTATTTCATAAACCATAAGTCTCTGTTTGAGCATCTCTCATGTCTACTAATTAGGCTGCTGCCACTCTGTTGGGGCAACTAATTGGGAAACTTAGAAATGACATGAATATATTGATTGTGGTCACAGGGGAGATTTCTGGTTTTATAGTGTTTATCTTCAATGAAATGTCTTTCTATGTAGACAGTGATTCCATCGGGATTTCGAGTGGGGATGAAGCTGGAAGCCGTAGACAAGAAGAACCCGACTTTCATTTGTGTTGCTACGGTAACAGACATGGTGGACAATCGTTTTCTGGTTCATTTTGACAACTGGGATGAGAGTTACGACTACTGGTATGGTGTTTTTGTTTTGTATCCTAGTGAGACATATCAGATGTATCTGTTAGCTTTCAACGGTATTTTCTGTGATGCTTTCCAGACTGCCAATACAGTTACCATGCTAACTTTTGCTAAATTTGTAATCATGGCCACCAAAGTGTATCTTGGTGACAGACTGGAGGAATCAAATGTCCCATGTCAGGTTGCACATAAAAAATGTACAGAGATTATCCTAAATGTGTGTTCCCGTGTGCTGCTTCAACTGAAGTTGTTGATTAATTTCTCATTTAAATTACATGCCAGGTTCATCTTTAGTGGAGAATATACAACATGATAATGTGACTGACCGTACTTGGAATTAGGTTTATGCATAGTTGTGAATTGAAAGAAAGTCTGTGTTTTTTCGTAAGGTTCTTGAACCACTGTGTTGTTCAGACCAAACCTTAGCCACCTTCTGTAAGGCATTGAGGCAGTGGCAAAACCTGGTTTTAGTGTTTTGTGTTCTACGTTCTTCTGAAAATGGGGATCCTGGTATCCTGACCTGTGTTAGAGATGACCTTTCTGCATACCGTATGGTGGAGCAGCTTTGTGTATCTATACGAAAAGTCATAAAAGTCCTGGAGCAGGACATGCTATGAGCATAAAGATCCTGAAGAAAATTCAGGCTTTGGCTGTCAGTGCAGGTTTGTATCTGTGCTTTCATCTTCTTTTGGCAGATCATTTAGACCCAAGTAATATATCTTACATTCTTTGAAGAGTAAGTTACTACAGGACAGGTAGAGCATTTTAAGCCTACATCTTGGGTTCTGCAGTGGCAACTTAATTGTATAGCTGAGCTTGTAAAAATAAATTGAGGAAGTTTTCTTCATCGTATTTGGTGACTGCTTAGGCACCGTGTCAATGAGAGTGACGTGAAACTATTGTTTAACTTCAAAACTTTTCTGAGTTCAACTCTTGAAATAATAATTGTATGGGCTACATGAAAAATAAGATGTCAGAGAACTAGATTATTGAAGCAGCGTTGAACTGGCATTTCAGTGAAGAACTGAGTATCAAGATAATAGGTCATGTGAGTCAAAGACCAGAAAGATTGTTTCCATGAAGAAGTAACACAGAAAATACATTTCCTCTGCAAAGCAGCAGGAAACTGGACTGGGAAAAGGTATTCTGAATTTCTTGATACTTGAATGCTCACTAATAAGAGTTATGCAATTAATAGTTAAAACAGAAATTAGGCGAGGCATTTAGTGCAAACACAATGCAATACAACCTGTAGTTTGTTCAGAGGTAGCATAAGTGTCTCTAAAACACTGTATTGTGTATAGCAGATACACACTGAATTTCAGGCTTGTTAATATTCCCGTGTCAACAGGAATTTTGTCCACCAATCTTCTAAGAAGAGAGTAAAGCAGTTTTTAAGTACATAACCAGGCTTTACGTTTTTGCAGTCATAGTATTCTGAAGTGGGCTATCTGAATTTCATATATAGAATACATGAAATAATACCTTCTTAAAGGATGAGGGGAAAATTGAAATGAAAAATATATAGGGGGTTGAGAAATCACTAGAGCTGTATTTATACTGAAGCCAAGCTGAAGATTTGTTCTTTTGGTGAAGTTGTAATACTTTCTGGAAGGAGCAAGAAGATGCTACCAGAAATATTGTGCATGGAAATTAAATTCTGAGTGGGGTGGCCTACTTCTCTGCATTGGTGTGATTGAGAATGAGAGTGAATAGAGGAGGAAAGAAAGGAAATGAGAAAAAAGAATAGCAATTGAAAATATCAGTGGAATGTCCAACCAAAAGAGACCCTGAAAATGCATCCTGAATTCATCCCACTTACATTTTTAATTTTAGATACCAGGTTTGTAGGGGCCTTAAAGTATCTAAGGTGCCTTAAGTTTCATATCTACCAGCTCGTTGGTTTTTGTAAGTAAAAATGAAAAGTTCTGTTAGGATTACCCAGAGTGGAGCCTCACCGTTTCTCTGCACCTGTGTGTAAGTTTCCATCTCAGAATTATAATGAATGAGAAATGGTGTATATAGTGTTTGTAGCTGATTATTTTCAAAAAAGTACCTTTTTTTTCTATATGCCTTTTATGATTTAATTTGAGTAGATTCAACTTCTTCATTGGGGTTAAAAATTCTTCCCTCTTCTTGGATAACTCAGTTGACTGTTTTACTGGACTTCAGGCAACAGAAATCTGTTAGCATCACCTAAGCTTATTTAGGCTTCAACTTTCAGCCTGAAGATAGTCCTCCTGACTTTTCCCTGAGTGCTAGAAAATACATTAATGGTTGAAAGTAAGTACTCTGCTAGAATTAGTCATTACTACAGCACCTTAGTCCATGGTGGTGATATTTTCAGTGATTATAAATCCCATTAAATTGTCCTTTGGCAGTGGCTTTTAGAGGGAAGAAAAGTGAAGAAAATTGACAGATTTAAGACTTTCCTTCAGGAGGAGAATTTTGACCCATACTACACAAACCAACAGGTCCTTCCATCAGTCCCGTCTTTTTTGATTAAATAAATAATTCTTTGAGAGCCAAAGACATTCCCTCTGAGTGGAATTTCCAAATTTTCTTATTGTTGACTGAATCTGGAAGTAACATTTGGGAATCTTTGGGAATGTTTGAACTCAGAGTTAACTACAGGTCCACGCTGGACCATGCTGGACAGTTCCATACATGTTCTGCTGGCACACAGATTTACATTGCCTCAACTTCCTAATTTTTTTGTGACCAAACCCAAGCGCATCCAGAGCTGGCGCTGGAGGGGAAACTGTGCCAGCTTGTTGCCGCTTGCCCACGGGAGAGATGGAGCAATGGCAGCACTGGACATGCTGCTGCCCAGACTCATTGGGTCAGAGGGCTCTGACTGGCCTCATCCATGGCTTGGTCTGAACATCCCCTGCAGAGAAGGTGCTACTGGCAGTTTTCGAGATCAGCTTACCGGAAGTGTGAGAACATACAGTGTCCCATGCTGCACTCACCTGTCTGTCTTGCATAAAAAAAACGATTCTAAAGCGCCTTGGGAAGAGAAACCAACTTTTGATTTTTCTGAACCATTTTCTGATCTGTATGAGTTTTGGAACAGACTAGACTTTGGTGTGAGACTAAGTAGGAGACCAGTTCTCCACCAGCATCTACTACTTTGCTAACGGCCAAGTCCATAAAAGTTGTGCTCTGATTGTTTTGTTTTTGAGATAATTAACTTTGCTTCACTACCTCTTTGAAAAAAACAGTCTTTTTGAAGCATTTGTATTATGCCAAAAAAGAAAAAAATCTTAAAGAACCATGAGTCACACTGTGTGCTTTAAAATATTTAAATGGATAAGGAACCAGTATCTGACCCTAAGGCTCTAAAGTTTCATGTAAATCACCATGCAGCTGTCTTATTAGACTTTAAATAGAAAATATGGTAATGTGGCTTGCTGTGCCACCTCTGGACTCATACTGTAACATCATGGGCCATGTTTTGGGAAGTCCTGACCTAAAGTAATACCAGCTTTACACTTGGCAATCATGAAATATTCTCACTTATGCACTAGATGGGGCTGCAGGATGGTTTCTATGTTTTTCTTTCTTTTTTTTTTTTTCTGATGTATTGTTAGATGACTGGCATCTCACAACTGAGAAGTTGTATAAGTAGCATTCTTGAGGACATACTATTATTTATTGGTATAACATTTGTGTATGAGCGGTTTTTTTATAGATAACATTTTCTTTACAGATTGTATCTATATTCAGTGAAGTGGAAATCAAAATACCAAAAAGTTTGAATTCCCAAAAGGGAAAATCAGAAATTGTTTCAAAACAGACAATGAGTATAACACAAACAGCTTATTTTAAAGAAAATGACAATGACTAAATAAATCTCTGTCCAGATTTTCAGGTGGAGGCCCAGTGGGAAAATATTTTTCTAAAATAATTGAAAATTAATTTTTTAAGTGACCATTATTGTCCATCTCTCTTGATCTGAATTTAATGAGTTGTATATATGAAACAGATTTTTTGGGAAAAATTAACAGGTGAAAGTGACCAAAAGAAAAATACTATCTTCTTCCATATCTGAATCCCCTGTTGGGACATGCTCTGCTGCTGTGAGTTAAGGATTGTCGAACAGCACACATGCTCCTTTCACTCAGTGGCACACGTCGCCAGCTGCCCTTGGCTTTTCTCACTGCAGAACAACTTCTGGCCTTTTACATCACAGTTCTTCCTTACTTTGATATCTTTTCTAAGATGTAGTTAGCCAGTCTGTAACTCAGTGGAGCTGCTGTTTGGTCTGTCCCTCCGCGTGGTTCTCTTACAGGTTCAGCTGGTGCACTCTGCTGCTTTTGGCTCTGCTTCAGCTGCCTGGATTAGCTTCAGTGTCCCACATGGAAAATAGATGGCTGTTTCTAGCTGCGTGTTCTCACACAACAGAAAGAATGGATCACAAGTGCCATGATTTGTGTGGACATCACAGTCTTCCTTTATAAGTGGAGCGTGCATGTGTCGCCACTCCACTGCTCGGTGGAAAGTGGTGGTGATATGCTGCGGTCCAGGGGTAACTGAGTTTGGAGGTGCACAGTTTTTCCGCTCCTGCTAGTCGTAGTAACCTTTTTTGGCCTAGCAAGCATCCTCACAATTCATGGATCATCAGGTTTTATGAAGCATGTGAGCCGGATGCTCTGCCTTCTGTTTTGGAACAAAGGAGATAAAAAGCTGTGGGACGCAGCAAATTGATTGTGAAAAGTCAGAGTATCCGTTAGCATTCCAGCTGACAAATCTTAGTCTTAGCCTTACAGATTATTACTGTTCTTCCAAAACTAGATAATATGTCCATGAAATAACACACATTAAAGCATAATAGTTTTACTTCAAAGTGTGTGTGACTTGTACTGATCTCTGCTTTTTATTGTTAAATAGACTGTTAGAAGTTAAAAGGCTGTGTGAAATCGGTAGGTAAAGATGGACTCTATGACCTGGTTTTGCTGGAACAGGTATGGCTTTTTTTCCTGAGGCCACCACGGTTAACACAAGTTTCTTATAGGCTCATTGGTAATGACTGGGGTTTTCTTTTAAAGCAAACCAAAATGTGGGTGTTTCATGGTGCTGTTTTGTAGTGCTGTGGTGTGTACCGCTCGTTGCTGTGTGTTCTGTGTCCGCTCCCATTGTTGTAATGTCAGAGCATCTTCCAGGAGTGCATCTTTCATTTTGACATATCTCGGTCACTTGCTTCTTGACTCTTCAAGGCAAGTAGTGTGTGCAATGGCATTTACTTTTCAGAATTTTATAAAAAAGTACGTTCGCGCAAGGCAAAACAGAATAAATGCGCTTAGAAGGTTTGTCCTGGTAAATGTTTTTACATGTCTATCTCATTATTTTAAGTATAATATTGATTATATTATAGTGACTCATAAACACGGGTCTTCTTCCCAAATTAAATCAGGAGACTTTTGAAAATAATTTCTGGACTTTACTCCAAAACATTTCAGGAAATACAAGGGTATGTCCTTCCAGTGTAGGATACCTCATCCATGTAAAACTCCAGCTTGAGAGAAAAGAGAAGTGTTGCCCTCCTTGCTCATTAGCTTCTCTTCACAGTAACTGTGAAAAGAAAGGGAGAGAACAGAGGGAACATGAAGCATTCACCTTTTCTCTGATTTGTTTGGGGTGAAGTGTTTCTAGGAGACATGCTGAGTTTTAACAGTGCAAATTATCACAAAAGTCCTTTTGCTACCTTTTATTAATAGCAATTTCAGTGATTTAGAGAGTACCTGGTGCAATACTATAAATACTAAATACATACAGTATATCTTTATATATAATAGTAGGACAAAAGGTTGGTATTCTTGAAGTAAGTTGGGTCTTGGCTATTGTCAGAGCCATTACAGAGTCTATGAAAGGTAGGTTTTATCTGCTGGACATTGATCTGTTTGGCATCATTACAAAGAAATACTACCAGGGCTGTTTCATACATAAAGCTGCAAGATAATTGTAGTAGGTTGGCCAATATTTTTCATCATTAGTGTTTCACTCTTTTTAGGTAGAAAGCTAGAGGTGTGCTTGTTGTGAGACAATGCTTCTGAGATACCCAGCCTGCATTTCTGTTGAAGTACATACATAATGGATTTTAGATGTCATGTAAAATTACTTTTCAGATTTAAAAAAGGTGTTATTCTGTGTATTCTAAATAGGATGTGCTCCTTCATTTTTCTTCTACGCAACACAGGTTCAGAACCGCAGTGTGATAGCCCAGGGTTCAGCCTGCAGTCTATTCTGTGCTGTGTTTCCTTTTGCAATCTTTAAAACACATTTGTGTTCAAGATCTGCAGGCCTAGCATTTTGATCTGAGCTTCAAGATGTTAGCTTGCCTGCTATTTTACCTTCAAGTTCTCTTTCTGTCATGCACAGTTCATAGCACTGTCTTAGGTATTACAGATCATCAGTGTGATATTTTTTAGAAAAATACGAATTAGTACTGCTCATTAAGGGAACTTAATTACTATGAACATCCAGCAAGCTAATACTTTATAGGCAGATACAGACATTGATTATTTGATAACAGTCAGGGGGAGCAGACCCACTGTTAAGGTATTTTGTATTAGTAACTCCTGGGCTGAGGGGAAAGGGAGAGAATACATGTTACTCTCCAGCCTAATGGTTGAGACATTGACTTCAGAGAGGAGAGGTTAAACAGATTAAATAGAAAGTGGATCACAGTGAGTGTGAATTATTGTATATGAAGTACGTATCTTTATGAATGGATACTCTCTGCATGTCTGGTTTTCTTATTAAATATTTAAGGAGTGTTTGGAAAGCAGCATTCCTTCCGCAGGAGT